AGGTCATAGATTTCAGGTTGCCTCCTTATGAGTTGGCTATGATAATAACTGTTAGATGAAGGTAGACTGTATGTACTAACTATAATACAGTGGCAAGTGGAGAAAAGATAGTAAGTAGTTCCATTATAGTCATTATCATCAGGTCTTAACTTGGATATTAGGCATAGCATAGGAAAGTTAGTACATGAAGGGTCAGGAAACCATAGTCAACAGTGTAGCTTTTTAAAAAAAATTTTAAAAATTTTTTAACGTTTTATTGTGAATAGAGTGAAGCTGTGCAGAGCAGATCATCAATTTTTACATTCAAGAAATCATACCCTTTATTTCATCTCAGTGATTGTAATAATTCCCTCCATGCAACATCAGTGATACTCCTTCCTCCTTGTGATTCTTATTTGCATTGCACTTCCTTTACCAGCTCTTCTGAACTTTGCACTTAGGTAAATGCTGCCCTTTTAATCTTGAATGGTTGACTATTCTGTGATTTGCATACCTCACTAGTGTTGTTGTCACCTGTATATCTATCTATTGTTGTTAGGTGACATCAAGTTGGTTCCAACTCATGTGCAATAGAATGTAACACCGTGCAGTCCTACGCCATCATCAAATTGTTTTTGTGTTTGAGCCCTTTGCTGCTGCCATTGTGTCATCCATCTGGTTGAGGCAGTCTTCCTCTTTGTTTGGTTGTTTGTTTTTTTCCTGTCCTTTTACTGTACCAAGGATGATATCCTTCACTTGGTTCCTCTTGATAATATGTCTGAAGTGTGATAGATGAAGTCTTGCCATCCTGACTTCTGAGGAGCGCATTCGGGCTGTATTTCTTTCAAGACAGATTTGTTTGTTCTTCTGGCAGTGCATGGTACTTTTAATATTCTTCCACACTGTAATTCAGATGCATCGATTCTTCAGTCTTCCGTATTCATTGTCTAATTTTCACATGCATATGAGGCAATTCAAAATACCATGATGCACCTTAGTCCTCAAACTGATCTTTTCTTTTGAACACTTTAAAGAGGTCTTGTGCAGCAGATTTGCCTAGTATGTCAATTGATTTCTTGACTGCTGTTTCCATGAGTATTGATTGTGGATCCAAGCAAAATGAAGTCTTTGACAGTTTTCGTCTTTTCTTCATTTACAATAATGTTATTTATTGGTCCAATTGTAAGAATCTTTGTTTTCTTTACATTGAGGTGTAATCCATACGAAGGCTGTATAGTCTTTGATCTTCATCTGTAAGTATTTTAAGTTCTCTTTGCTTTCAGCAAGCAAAGTTGTATCACCTGCATACTACAGGCTGTTAATGAGTCTTCCTTCAATCCTGATGACCATGTTTTGCTTCATATAATCCAGTTTCTCAGATTATTTGCTTAACATACAGACTGAGTAAGTATGGTGAAAGGTTGCAACACTGGCACACACCTTTTAGACTTTAGACTACATTATCCCCCTGTTTTGTTCTAACAACTGCCTCTTGGTCTATGTATAGTTTCTTCATGAGCACAGTTAGAATGAAATGTTCTAGAACCCATTATTTGCAATGCTATTCATAGTATGCTATAATCCTCATAGTCAAAAACATTTGCATAGTCAATAAAGTGCAAGTAAACATCTTTCTGGAATTCTCTGTTTTCAGCCAAGATCCATCTGATGACAGCAGTGATATCCCTAGCTTCACGTTCTTTATTGAATCTGACTTGAATTTCTGGCAGTTCCCTGTTGATGCATTGTTGCAACTGTTTTTGAATTATCTTAAGCAAAATTTTACTTGAATGTGATGTTTTACGATTTCTGCATTCTTTCGAGTTATCTGTCTTTGGAATGGGCACAAATATGGATTTCTCCTCTTGGTTGGCAAGGTAGCTATTGTCTAAATTTCTTGGCATAGATGGTGGTGGTGGTGTGCTATGGAGTTTGTTCCGACTCATATAGTAATCCTGCACAGGGTCTCCAAGGCTGTAAATCTTAATGGGAGAGTGAAGCCTATCTACTGCTTGCCTGAAAATTGAGGCACAATGGTGAGTTCAGTTTCAGACCTCAAGGGCCATAGTCTCAGATACCTACAATGTCTTTCTGACCAGTAAATCTGGTCTTATTTATAATTTTTAGTTTTGTTCCACATTGTCTCCCACCCTATCCAGGACCATCTTCTTCTTCTTCATGTTCTTTCTTTAAAAAAAACTTTTTATTTTGTGGTAAGTGAAGGTAAACAGACAAAATTATCAGTCTTACTTTCAACCAATCATACGTTTTGTTTCATCTCAATGGTTACACTCCCCTCTCTGTAACAACAGTTATCCTACTTCTTCCCTGTGGCTTCCCTTTTACATCTTATATTTCACAAATGAACAAAGTTAAAATATTTCATGTACATACATAAAACAAAAAATACATAATCATTTAAATGTCCACAGGGCACACTTTGCAAACCAGCTCCCTGCCCACAGGCACACAACACAGCCTTTCTCAGTCCATGGGCCTAGAGTCCTCAGCTGCTCTTTCTCTCGATGCCATTGCCTCTGCCACCGTCTCTGCTGTCACTGATTTTCTGGATAGGATCTCACACTCCACCTATGATCTTTCCTCTTGATGGACCTGGGATCCTCTCTTCCTGAAATGAAAGATTAACTATTCCCCCCTTTTAGTTACACATCTTCTACAATTACAGTTGTGACCATCACGATTAATCCTGGTAACAGTTATTCCCAATTGAATTATAAGACTTAACAGCATCACCCCCCATCCCCTCTCACCAGATCCATCTGGAAAAGAGGAAAGCTATTCGGTGGGGATTCTGTCTTACCCTCCTCATTCTGAAACTAAGCACACATGAAAGTTTGTAAACCAGCTACTTTGTGCCATTATAGCCCCCCATTTTTGATAGCCAGAGTCTAAGTTTTCTGTCCCTATCAGCCCAGTGCTCTGAGAAAATAAGCTTGATTCTTGATATGAAGAATCCTTCCATTTCAGTTGAAATTTTGAACAGCTGAATCCATAAACAAAGGTCCAATTCATCAAATTGTAGCAATTTATGTTTGCTCTCAGTATTAGACTTCTTTATCTTCATCTGGTTGAGTTCTGGTCAGCTAGCCATCTAAGCTAGGTCAAATGGGTACTATGTGCCAGTTTGGAAGTTCTCGCACACTTCCCCCCACTTCAGACCAGCTGGCCGCTTTATTCTCAGCTCTAGCCCACAAGGGATAGGTCAGTGTCCATTGGCTTGTCACACATCTCCCTAAACGTCAGACTAGCTATCCCTTTCTCTTCTCTCAAGGTTAACAGGTGTCAATGGAACATGGCCAAACTCAGTCCATGTCTTCATTGCTGCATTTCCCCCACACTCACTCACAAGTAGACCAGGGTGGTTACCAGCAAGCATACCTAGACTCTTTGAAACCCCTTAGGGTTTCAGTCTAGAAGGGGGTGTTTCCTGATTATCCAGGACCACTGGTGGTGTTAGCCCTTTCAGAATAGTTGGTAGTAGTAGCTGAGCACGATCTAGTTCTTCTGGTCTCAGGATCATGGAGGCTGATGTTCATGATTTCCATAAGTCTGTTAGACTAGTTGATTTCAGGCATCTTTAATTTTCATCACTCTTCTTTCCACTGCACAGGGAGAGAGTGCTCAATAGCTGCCAGCTCATAGAGCTCGTAAGATCCCAGTCTCAGTGTAATAATCATAGAATTGAATAAAACCTTAGATGTAAAGCATTTTAAAAATACATCATCTCATTTTACTGTTTTCAAAATAGGGCAATGAGATTATCCCCAGATGAGGAAACTGAGACTCTGAAGGTTTAATGACTTACCCACACCCTGGTATTTTAACACCAAAGTTTAGTACTACTATACGGCTTTTACTAACTTGAAAAAGAGGACAAGTAATAACCTTGTATAGTCCTTTATTATCTTGAAAATCTTTTCATAAAATTGTTTGATTTGATTCTTACAGATAGGAGAAAGAAATAGCTGTTACTCGTGATGACCATTTTATAAGATAGAATATAAAGACACAGGACTGTTTATTTGCTTCTTGCTGTAGAACTAGGAAGTGGTGACATTGGAGTTTTCTGACTTTATATACACATTGTTTTCTTCATTACATCAACTAGATTTGGGTATGAACTTTATTTCCTGTAACTCCTGAGGCCTGACTGAAACCACAGGTGGCCATTTCCAGGGGTAACAGTGCAGACCATAGTGATCTGCTTACTATAGTGAATGTCAGGCAGAGGTCAGGTCTCAATTGGTTATCTGTGAGAAGACCCTTGCATCACATGGATGTTGAACCCAATAACCTCTAAGCTTCTAGAATTTCTGGTTCATGCTTATGAGGATACTTATAATGTATTCAGGAATAGATAATAGATAGCCACAAGGAGGAGATGAAGAAATGATTGATAAAGTAGATCTTTAAGTGCAACTGACTCTCATTTAAGTCTTGGGTGGTTATTTAACTTTACACTTACTTTTAAAGAAATTGCACCTTTTTTGTCTTCTTAGCTCCCAGGGACAGATTAATGAGTTATGATTTGTTATAGGAGACAGTGAATGAGAGAGGGAAAGAAAAAACAGCATCTTTGAAGTGAGAGATTTGGTTCCAGTGTTGACTTCACCACTCAAAAGTTGTGAAACCTTTATCTCTTTGTGCCAAATCTATAAAATTTGGAGCTCTTATAATGCCTCATCTATAGGAATTTTGTAAGAGTTATATGAAAGTAAATGAAAATAAGTCTTTTATCAAAGAACCTAACAAATCTAGAACTGTCCAGGGTCAGCTTTCACACACAAAAAACAGTTGCCATCCATAGTTTTTCATTAAAAAAATCCAGGTCCAAAAGAAGTATATAATGTGCTTATAAATTCATGCACTTTTGTGTATCAGTAGAACTTTTTTTATTCGTTACACTATTGTACGATTTCTTTATTCCTTTGATCTTTAAAGAAAGGTTGGCTGGCATATTTCCATCTACCCTTCCCATTTCTTCATTTTCTGTTTTGTAGAGCAAGGTTTAGATCACATAGCAGAAAATATTCTTTCCTACCTGGATGCCAGGTCTCTGTGTGCAGCAGAGCTGGTGTGTAAAGAATGGCAGCGAGTGATCTCGGAAGGGATGCTGTGGAAGAAGCTGATTGAGCGAATGGTGCGCACTGATCCTCTATGGAAGGGGCTTTCAGAAAGAAGAGGGTGGTAAGTATTTGAGTTGCTTGTTTCCTTAATAAAAAAAAGAAGTGTCTTCAGCACACAGATTGATTACTGAAAAAGGCAATTATGTTTGTAAAGTATGTAAGTGTATTTTAAAGTAGGGGGAAAAGATGAATGATCAACAGTTGTGGGGACTGGAGGAGAAAACTAAAATTGTCAAAATTTCCTCGATTTTCCCTTCTAAAATGCATCTTTTCTTTATGTTTATTAACTCATAAAGTATTGTGTAGTTTGAATGGGCAATAGACTTTTCAAAGCTGTGTATTTATGTTTTTCCCTTTACATTTTTCTTAGATAAGATAGATAAGGCAAAAGTAAATGTTGTTTTACTATTTGTTTTTGTACCTCCTTGGGATGTGGGGGGCATGGCAGGCAGTGCTTTTGTTAAGGAAAAACCATTTGCTTAGAAGGATTGTTCTACAGCAGTGCATATGGCATGCCTGACACTGACTCTGCCCAGTTAGCACAGAGAAGGGTAGAACTACCTGTGAGGGCTGGTGGTGGGGTGAGTGAGACTCAGGGCTTCGTTTGCTTTATTGGAGGGAGCTTGATAAATACTGTGAGATTTTTTTTCACAAAGGCACAGTAGCACTGTGTAGAATGAAAGGCTAGATGAATTGTATTTTAGATAGATACACTCAGAAAAGACCAGGGTCATGTTAAGAGACCTGTGAATTATAGTATATTTGCCTCTAACATGTACATTTTGAACCATACAAGTTCAGTGCAAGTCACAAGGCATGAAAGATACAGTATCTTTGTACGCATTGTGTTTAAAATTTGGTCTATCATGTGCAAAAATGTAACATCTATTTGTTTTTATTTGCCAGGGATCAGTACCTGTTTAAAAACAGACCCACAGATGGCCCTCCTAATTCATTTTATAGGTCATTATACCCAAAGATTATCCAGGATATAGAGGTAACTTTATGACTTATCTGTTTCATGGCTCTTTGTTCTTATTCTCAACTTTTTTTGTTGCTTTAGAGTGTTCTTTTTGTTCTAGAATCATGCAAGTGGTGGTTTTTTCTTTTTGTGGTTTTTGAAGTTGAGCTCTTAGAACAAATATGTCACCACCAATGTATAATAGGTAGCTATTCTTTAAAGTAGATGATATCTTTTTGCCAAAAATGAACTACCTTTCATTAAAAAATGTGTTTGCACAGCTGCCAGTTAATTAAAACCTTAGATCCAAGTCACCTCTTTATTTTGATTTGATAAGTTTTCTAAACTTCAAGGCTCAGCCTATCAGGGAAGCATAGTTTTATGGTTTTGAGTCATCTCTAGAGGAGGACCAGAGAAGTCACAGTCTCAGTTTCCCTCTGTAAATTTCTGATAGTTTTTCACAAAGACACCTCAGATAGGATTTAAAGTCATAGATCAGTGGGATTTATAGTCCAAATTATGTTCCTGGACTACTTTGGCATTTGAGAATAACCTCAGCAGAGCAGTAAAATAGTGAACTTGCTGAGAAACCCTGAAGATGTTTGATACTGTTCATATGTTGTAATTCGTTCAGTTTTACTAGTAGCTCCTTTCCTTGGACCGGGAAAGACATGCACAGGCATTTCTCATTAGCTCTTTCACGTGTGTTCTTAGCAGGTCTTGGTTACTTCATTGGCAGAAAAATTTAACCTTAGCTAGGTGATGCTATGTCTCCTATAAAAGTACATTCAGTTTCCCAAACGTGAAGTAATCCTCTCCCCTAGGTGATAGACATAAAAGTTAATATGTCAAAATTCATTTATGGAGAAATGAGCTCTTTTGGAGTTTTATCTTTTTTCCTCTCCCTGTTTTTAGGCAGATGGGAACTAATGGAATCATTCCATTAATGGTAAATCTGAATGTAATGGAATATTATTATTTAAAATACAAACTCTTGTTTCTAGTATTCGGTTTTCTAAAATGAGCTATAAAGTAATCTTTTAGGAGGTTAAATACTTTTAAATGTTTGTCAGACAAATAGTAAAGTTTAGGTATTAAAATTATTCATTTATAGTTAAAAACCTTAGTTATAAATTGCCCTATGGTGTGGCACTGTAGGATCAGCACTGACCTTCTAACCACAAGGTTGACAGTTCAAACCTATCAGCTGCTTCTTGGAAACCCTATACAGGGTCGCTGTGAGTCGGAACTTACTCAATAGCACTTAGCAACAACAGAGTTAACTTTAATCTTATGTTGGGGCATGTGTGTTTCAGGGGGCAGGATGACTGTCTGGACTGTCCCTTACCCCCCACACCTCCGAAAAACTATTTACAGGCATCTCTAAATTTCCTTGAATAAATTTATCAAGTCTTTCATTGTGAGGACTGTTTTAAAGCCAGTCATTGATAAATAGGAACTATGGAAGAACTTTGGTTTGAAGATTGATTGGTGGTGACACTGATTAATCTTCGTAACTGTTACATACAACAGCATGAGCTTAACATTCTGTAGCATGACAGTATGCAATACCACCTACCATAACCATTTACTCAGACTAAAATAATACTTTAAAGTTAGTAGAGGAGGCAGATGTGAAAGAAGGGAGTAATTGGGGAAAGCCCTGTTTGTCACGAAACCGCTACATCTTGGTGGTCTTGCCAGTGGTTCTTAAAGTGTGGTTTTGGGAAATCTACTGGATGGCCACAAGAGTCTCCTCCAGATTTTTGTGGGCTTGATCTCGTAATGTAAGAGATGATGGTTATACTTTGGTATATGCATTAGTAGAAATAATAAATAAAAATAATGTTCCAAATATTGAGCAGTTACTTGTGCCAGAAACTTTGTTAAGCTCTTTGTAATTCATTTTATCATTTAAAACTCTGGACAAAAACTTAAAAGATAGATAATATCCTTATTTAAATGGTGGCTTCAGAAGATTAAGTGGATTATCCATAATCTCACTGCTAGTGAGCCTGTGATAATCCTTAAACTCTTTGGCAGTTAGTAAGCTTGGTTGGTAACACACATCACTGGTGCCTCATCAAAGAAGCAGAGCTCTTTACCTATGTTTTGGGAATATGTTTTATTCCATTCAGGGTAGATATCCTGGTAGAGAAGTACGTTCAGTAATTCATGAGTCAAAACCCCCAGAGACTCACAGGGTTTGATTCCGACCCATATTGGTTGGTATTGAGTCTTCATAAGGAGACTATAATAATGACAGTACCCTCTTTAAAACTCTTAGATATACCATGATATATACTAGATAATTTACATAAATTATTGTATCTAATTCTTGGAAGGCATGTATTATTATCTCCACCTGTAATATGGAGAAAATGAGACTGAGAGAAGTTTTTAGAACTTGCCACATAGTTCTTAGAAGAGATAATGTTTTAACTGAGATCTGTGTAGCTGTAGGCTTAGAGTTGTTGTTTATCATTTCATAGTGGGAAAGTCAAGAAGTGAAGAGAAAGGTATGCTATTATATGCCTACAGACATCTCAAGGTGGTCTTCCCATCTTTCTCCAGTTGTGTGAGTACTCATTGTTCCTGACCATTGATAAGAGAGTAAGAGTTAAGACAAAGTTAGTTGGCATTATTTCAGCCCAGTTACAGGAAAGGTAGTGCTTTACAGGGTTTGAAACACATTGCAAAAGATAAATTACAGAAGGACTGTCAAGTGGATGCTGTGTTCTCCCTTCCCAGGTGCTCATACACAGGTGCAGTTTCCATGCTTGTTTGTTGTTGTTGTTTTCCCTTAATGCTTTGCAAGGTTGCCAATTTACATCTTTTCATTTCTTTCCTTTTTGCTCTTTCTTGACAGCTCTGGTTCATGTGCTGTCTTCATCATACTAGATGTAACTCTGGCAAGCAGAAAGGCAGTATCTATCTCTGAACTTGCCCTTGTACATTGACCTACCACATATTAACAAATTAAAACAAAGAAACACTTGCTTTAGTAAATTGGGTTAAGGTTACAGAACAGATAATCAAGTTTACATTCAACAATTCATATGCAAATTAGCTACTTTTAAAGGGAAAATAGAGACCCCAGCTTTGTTTGGCCAACTCCTATTAGGAATTGACGGCTGGGAAAAATAAATAAGAATTGTTAGCTTTCAGCCAAGGTTCATCTCTCTTGGTTGTTCTTGCCACACATAGATTGAGTTTCGGTTTACACTGCCTTTGAATTGAGGAATTCATGGAAAACCTGAAGTCCATTTCTTAAAAAAGTAGCTATTGTCTCTTTTGCTATCTCTTGTTTCGTGGTTGTTGTCATTAGGTGCCCTCAAGTACCAACTCATAGCGACCACATACACAACAGAAAGAAACGCTGCTGCCCAATCCTGCACCAACCTAATAATCATTACTATACTTGAATGCGTTGCTGCTGCCATTGTTGGCAGTCGTCCTCTTTTCCGTTGATGCTCCACTTCACCAAACATGATGTCTTTCACCAGGGATATGTCAGAAGCATGAGAGATGAAGTCTGGCCATCCTGACTTCTGAGGAGCATTCTAGTTTGTACTTCTAACAACACAGATTTGATTGGTATTCTGTCAGTCCATGGTACTTTTAATATTCTCTTCCAACACCATAACTCAAATGCATCAATTCTTCTATGGTTTTCTTTATTCATTTGTCTAACTTTCACATGCATATGAGGTTATTGAAAATGTCATGGCTTGGGTCAGTCGCACCTTAGTCCTCAAACTGACATCTTTGCCCTTGGACACTTTTAAAAGGTCTTGTGCAGCAGATTTGCCTAATGCAGTGTGTCGTTTGATTTCTTGACTGCTGCTACCATAAATGTTGATGGTTGATACAAGCAAAATGAAGTCTTTAACGACTTCAACCTTTTTTCCATTTATCATAATGTTAATTATTGGTTCATTGGTTCATTTCTTTTCATTGAGGTATAATCCATACTGAAGGCTGTGGTCTATGATCTTCGTCAGTGTTTTAAGTCCTCTTCACTCTCAGTGAGCAAGGTTGTATCATCTGCACATTGCAGGTTGTTAATGAGTTTTCCTCCAGTCCTGATGCCACATTCTTCTTCATATAATCCAGTTTCTCTGATTATTTGTTCAGCACACAGATTGAGTAAGTATGGTGAAAGAATACTACTCTGGTGCACAGCTTTCCTAAATTTAAGCTGTTCAGTGTCTCCTTGTCCTGTTTGAACAACTTTCTCTTGGTCTATATTCAAGTTTTACTCTCATAACTTGTCATGATCCACACAATTGAAAGCCTTTGCATACTTAATATAGCACAGGTAAACATCTTTCAGGTATTCTCTGCTTTCAGCCAAGATATATCTTATATCAGCTTTGATATCCCTCGTTCCATGTCTCCATCTGAATTTGTCCTGAACCTTTGGCAGATGTACTGATGAAGCTGTTTTTGAATTAGCTTTAGCAAAATTTTACTTGCGTGTGATATTAATGATATTGTCTGATGAATTACACATTCTTTCAGGCCACCTCTCCTTGAAAAGGGCACAAATGTGATTCTCTTCCAATCAATTGGCCAGATAGCTGTCTTCCATATTTTTTGGCATAGATGAGTGAGTGCCTCCAGTGCTGTCCCAGTTTGTTGAAAGATACCAATTTGTATTCCATCAATTCCCAGAGCCTTGTTCTTTGCCAGTGCCCTCAGTGTACTTTGTACTTTTTCATTCTGTATCATTGGCTCTTGGTCATATGCTTCCTCTTAAAATGGGTGAACATCAACCATGTCTTTTTGATGCTTTCTGCATCATCCAGTATTTTGCTCATTGTTGTTGTTGTTAAGTGCCTTTGAGTTGGTTCCTACCCATGCGACCCTGTATAGGGTTTCCGAGGAGCAGCTGGTGAGCTTGAACCCCACCTACCTTGCAGTTCAAACTGACTTTGCAGTCCTGCTCATTAGCCTACATCACCACACCAGGGGTCGCCATAGAATCCTTCAGTATTGCAATTGAGTCTTGAATTTTTTCTACAGTTATTTCA